CAATTCTCTCTAACGTTACAGAAACAAGGCATTAACAGACATGCAACATGTGTTTATTTGAAACTTACTGTTAAGTCCCACAGAGTAGTGGAAACATCACTCCCTTCCAAGTAGTTCCAAGGTTGGTAAACCCAACCGGTGGTCATTGCGTCTTCCCCCACAGTCCCAAAGTAGTGAAGTTAATTCCAACAGGTAGTATAGCACCAACAAAAACATTGTGGGTCGTTAATCTGTTAAACAGCAACACGTCACATGGGCAGACACACTGGCCTCAAGCAGTCAAAACAAACAGGTACTGTGCTCTGGGGGAATCCAGCATTGATGACCTGATCACTAACCTCCACAGGGGGCTTCACTGGCTTGTAAGTTAGACCTGGTCAGTTAAAACAGCGAGTCCCTGTACAGGAACATTTCCAGACATGCAGTAACCTCAGGCCCTGAATTTTTCTCCACATCCTCTGGTCACAGTGCAGCAGCAGGAGGGAACATATATCCACAAAACCGTCTGCAGTTGAAAAATTCTGCTTTTACAATAGCACTGGTGGATATCGTTTTTTCTTTTGTTTGTTTTTGTTTTTTTAAATAAGCTTTATTGAAAATATACATAACATGCAAGGCAAAATAACATTTTGCCAATATAGTAGGGGCACAATTTGGGATGTCAGGCAAGATCACATGTATGCTCAACTGCCTGGAGACTGTGAACATTCAAGGAAATCCTTAAAATATAATACTTTATTTTGGTAGAAAGAAATTCTCATGAGCCAGAGTTTGTGAGATGTGTATAAACTGAGTTGCTTCTGCAAAGAAATACTAGAACATGCGTTCACTCAATTTTTTGAGCTTTAGGTCACGTCTAAGATGATAATTCACCATTGTAGATAAGTCAAAAAACTAGGAAAATCATGCCATGGGCTCTTTAACCTTGGATTACCAGTGGCCCCAGGTGTGTATATTTCCAGAAGTGTCATTGTTTGACAGTGAGGTTCAGCTTCACTACACTAGCGAGTTTCTAGTCTAAACTAAACGCTCCTAGACGCTTTCGATCTTAGCCAGTCGGTTCAGCTCCCCACTCATCAGCGGGGAGGAACGCTTGACCTGGTCATCTCTCGAGGACTGGTGGTCTCTATTAAAGATGTCTTTGACTTAGCCATTTCTGATCACTCAGTTATTTGCTTTGAGGTTCAGGGGCCCGGGTTTGCTGCTGGCCTGAGGGCTCCCCTTCAGAGCCGCAGGATGATTACAACCTCTACATCATCAGACTTTGCTGCTGCTTTTCTGACCTCAGGGCTCCACTACACCGGAATACAACAGGCCCTGTCGTCGCCAGAGACCTTCCTATTCGAGTTCAACTCCACCTGTGTCCGGATTATGGATGCTATTGCTCCATCCAGGAA